GTCAGGCGAAACGATACCACAATTTGAGCTTTTCAGGCGAATCGGGAAATTTTAATTGGTCAGGCGAAATGAGAACAGGCGAATCGGACATAAATCAAGTCAAATACATAGGTATTATGTGGGTAGGTACTTACCATTTCATAAAATTTAATTACAACACAATTAACATAAAATATAAAGCACTTCGTCGAATACTTATAACTATAACTTTGCGTCTTGGTTTTTGACCTTCACGTAGCCGAAGAAAATATTAACTATTTGGATTACGACGCCTCGTGCAGTTTTATTTATACACGTGGTTCGTAGACGAGTCTTCAAGTCTGGACAGGAAAAATCGACAAGATCTAATATGAAACTTACTCGTCGTACAATATTCGAGTCTGGACAGGAAAAACGTAGTTCGTAGAGTAAGTCTGGACAGGAAAAATCGACAAGAACTTATTTGAAACTTACTCGTCGTACAATATTCGAGTCTGGACAGGAAAAACGTAGTTCGTAGAGTAAGTCTGGACAGGAAAAATCGACAAGAACTTATTTGAAACTTACTCGTCGTTCGTAGAGTAATCGAGTCTGGACAGGAAAAATCGACAAGTTTATACTTGTTCCAGAATGAATTAATTCCTATTTTATTATTTAAATATTCGCGCTTTGTCTCAAATCGCTTACTTAAAACTTTGGCCCACACATGCGCTTCGTCTGACTGTAAGACAAGTGAAGCGCCGTTGGACGAGAAGAACTACAGCAATTGCCGCGACGAGAATGCTTTGTGGAGTGTATGTGCCGTTAAATCCGCTATTATAAAATCCTATATAATAAACGTTATTATATAAACTGTGTAACCGAGCCCGGTCTTGGCTACTGGACTAATACTACCACCTACTTCATCCGACGAACAATATGATGCAACACAGAAGGTAAGCGCGTTTGATACACGTTTAACTTATTTTTTTCGACTGTTACAATCAGCGACTTTTTACGTAATATTCCAATCATTCTATTACAATACTTTATACGGGTATTCATGGTATTGCATGTTGCACACAGAATTAACTAACCTATTGATTTTATTATATTTAATAATTAACACGCTAATTTAATAGCTATTTGATTTCAAAAATAGATATATTTTCTGTCACAATAGGAATAGGTCATTATATCAACGAACATAAACTTCGATAACATTATTGATTATATTATCATGAATTGAGATAAAAACATTTTTGATTTCTTTAGTGTCTTAGTGCCTTGTTCATTGGAATCGTTAGAAAAATTAAAAATTCGAATTGTATACAGACCTCCGGTTTGGTGCCCCTTTAGAGTTGCGCCCGCGTGCGGTGCACGCGCAGTTGCGGGGACCCTGGAGACAAGATCATGTATTTATTGCGCTAGAAGAATTTAAAAATAAATACGGAAAAACGGTACAAGAATGTGCATTATTTATTTATGAAAAACATCCATACTTGGGAGCAAGTCTAGACGGCATTATTAGTAATAATGAAATAATTGAAATTAAATGTCCATATTTTTGTTCCAAATTGACACCAGAAATGGAAATTCAAGAAAAAAAATTAAAAAACTAGCCAATACAGATGGCCAAATTAAATTTAAAAAAATGATAATTAGTTTTTTTTTTAATTTAAGTATTTAATTTATTTTTACCTATTTTTACTTTCAGTGAACGAAGAAAAGATAAAACCAATACATTATATTTTTTTTATGAAATTGTGAGATTGATGCAATTTTGTTTTAAAAAAAAAACAAATGTTTTATAGTATGTACCACTGTATATTAAAGCACTTTCCAAAAATCAGTTTCTTACTTTAAATATAGGTACCATAACTAAAGCCATCCAAAGCTTTCGCGCGGATACCAAGTGTATATCGAATATAAGTAATAACAACAAAAATGTATAAAAATCCTTTACTATTTCACCTTAGAATATAAATAAAATCAATTTAAATATAGTTATTCATTTATTTAAAAAATAATTCCACTAGATGAAGAAAGAAAACTTTCGAATCCGTCATCGAAGTAATAAAAATATGATCTGCAAAGAAATTACTATCATCACAATAGTTACAATATACAGACAAATTGGGCCAGCCTGCGTTTCAGGTGGAGAGAAAGGTAGACGTACTATTAGACTGAACGGAGAAAGATAAAATTATTACACGTACAATTATCTTTACATAAACAAAGAGAGGGTTGCGTACAGAGATATTCTATGAAATGAATGAGGTACCTCTCAACTTCGACCGAACGGAAAGCGGTAGAATAGCCTTAATATCAAACACGACTTTTTGCCAAAAATTCCATGTGCTAAAAAAATAAAACAAATAAATTTGTCACATATATTTTCGAATTTATACATACACAAAAACGGATTAAACCAGTAATATAAAACATTACATTCTAAATATTGTACCATTCGACATATTAAGTTTCCACTTTCGATTACGGCCACAAAATTATTAAAGTGCGCAGCACCATTTTGATGTATTTTTTAACATCATACTTATTAAGAAACTGTAACAATTACAAAATAAATGTAATTATTAATTTTTGAATTTTCGTTTCATATCTTACGTGAAAAAATAATAGGCAACTATTGTTCTCAAAGTTTTTTGAAAATGTTCAAAAATTATTTTTCTGGAAAAGACCGATCACTACAAAGAATAAATAGTTGTTACCATAGTATCTCAAATAAAAAATATTATAATTTATTTCTAAATCGATCTAGTATTCAAAAATTTGTGTATTTTGGAAATAAAATCTTTCAAAATGTTTGATGAGAAAACTCAAATAAGTGTTGTAAATTAGGCCACAAGAACAGCAAACTTTATTTTTTTGTTATATTTTGATATTTCTGTGTTTGTTTTGTCACAAAGTGTCCATACAATTTTCCTTAGTTATAATTTCAATACATTTTTAAAATAAAATGCTTGTTTTTCATTGTTATGGCTGATCATAGGAATAGAAACAATATTTATGCCACTTAATGGCATTAAATTCTCATTTAATAATATACTACTTCTACATACTTCTACTCTTCCAGATCACAAAAAAAAATTATGAATTTTGATAAACAATTCTGAATTTTGAGAAATATGCGAAATATTTGATAAAAACCGAAATTCAAACATATTATTTCTTAATAAGTATAAAGTTCTCAAACAATTGAGCATTTCAATGAGCCAAGAACGAAAATTGGAAATTTTTGAGTATTATAATTTGAGCAAATAATTATTTATATAACAACCACTTAGCTGCCTTTTAGTTACTATCAAAAAATAATTCATATTCCATTTAAAATAATTTCATACAGGAAATAAAAAAGCTGCCGTAAAATACCGACTAATTATGGTCCTAAGAACTAATAGTTAATATTTACAATCTGTGTACTTATCAACCAAGTACCTACTGATTTTTTTTAGATGATACAACCAATGTTACAAGATATTTTGAGATACAGGGTTGAAATTAGAAAGCCCCAATTCTTTAAAATGGGCACCAAAAAGCACCCTTAAATATTATTGGAAGTTATTCGTTTATTCTGTGAAGTTAAAATACATACTTAACTACTATAAACAAAATATTGTCACTTACAAGGTGTCAAAGTAGGTATGTTCACCGAACAAAAATAGCTGAAAGGCCGAAAAAAAATATATCACCGTCATAGTCTCTCAATATTTGAGTATGTACTCGTTTGAAATTATTATTGGTAAAATTAGATCCTATGACTAGTTTTCCAAATACATGTACCTAATATATACATTTTAAACAATAAATATATACTGACATAAGTAGACGTGTTCAAGAGAAATACCGTATATTAAATATATTGACACACTGTGTTGGATTAGGAGAGTACAGTCTTGTACTATTTGGAGACAGACAACAAATTTCGTAAATTAAGAAGACAGTTCAGAAGTGGAGAATTTCCCAGATTTATCTGCTCATTAACTACATCATACTGAGCATCCATTAAATGTTTTTAATTTCTAATGATTCCTAAAACTATGTCAGTTTGACAACGTTTGTTATCGCCTATTTAAAATATTAATGTATGTATATTTATAAGCTTTTTCAATAAAGAAGCAATTAATGTTCTAATCTTTGGCAATAATTTTATGTTTTTGATTTTTTCACCTTGCCAGTTAAACTACGACTTAAAATAAAATGTATTGGGGGCTTTACCTCATGGGTGGCGCGGAAAAGAGCTCACAATCTGATTTAAATATGCAATATAAAAAGACACTTTTGGCAATGCTCGAACCAAATAAACCTGTAATCCGATTACAATTCATTTCTTTAGATCCTACTCAGATCTAGCGTATAATGAACTTTTTTGTAATGAAATAATGTATGACCCGAGGTGGGGGAGGCCACATGGCCCACAGTCCGAATTACATCTAATGTATGATCTTGCATGTTGACTTATTAGATTTTCTTATTGAACAACTCGCAACTTACAAGGCATTAGTTTCTATTCTTTGGCAACAATTTCAAGTTTCCTTGTTGATTTTTTCACCTTACACATATTCAAATGTGATCACCCTGTAAATACGAAATTTTTTGTCTGCCTCCAAATAGTATAAGGTACTACATTCCTAATCCAACACAGTGTAGCAAAATATTTAATATACGGTATTTCTCTTGAACATATCTACTTAATTATGTCAGAATAATATATTTATTGTTTAAAATTCACATATAAGGTACATATTAAGTTATATTTGTAAAACCAGTCATAGGATCCAATTTTACTAATAAGTATTTCGAACTAGTATACCAAGAATTATACAATATTAAATATTGAGAGACTTTGACAATGGTATTTTTTCGGCATTTCATCTATTATTGTTCGGTGAAAATACATACTTTGACCGAAAAAGATCTGGGGAATCATGAATCACCCTGTAAGTGACAATCTTTTGATTATAGTAATTAAGTATGCATATTGACTACACAGAATGAGCAAATAACTTCCCAAAATATTTAAGGATAATTTTTGGATTTTAAAGAATTATGGATTTCTAACTTCAAAATCTAGTCATAGGATAAGAAAAACATAAGGAAAGTGTTTGGATAAGCAAATAATTAAAATCGTCTAAATATTATTTTTCAAAAATAAAGCAAAGCAAACTTTTGAAGTAATGCTTATTGATTGTTTTCTATAAATGAAGAACTAAAAAGTTTGTCAGGTTCATTTTGACTTTTTTCTTAACGATTTTAAGTTTTGTTACGTTAAACAATGTTTCAAAAGAAAATTTAAAGATGTAGTAGCTTAGAAATGGGTTTCTGAATAATTAATTTTCAATATTTTCAGGTGAGGGACCACGGAACTATTTGGGGGGTATTCCATACCCCTGGAAACTTGGATACCCAAAAATCAAGTTTGACTTCGCCACTGAGTGGATCGTCCATGAAAACGCTGGGATAACAAAGTAAAACAAACAGTATGCTACAAAAGATAATTAAGTGATTTTTAGTGATAAAATCAAAAGAAGTCCGATATTTTTATGATAAGCTCTCTGCATTAAACTTTTCTACTATATTGATAAAATCTCATCTTTTCACACTGGTTTTGCCACCCAATAGAAACTGAAAAATATCTCTCAAATTAGAAAAAATACACATGTCTACCTCCCAGAAGTATTTACTATTGTCTTAAATTATTACCGAATATGGATTATTTTTTTATGATTTATATAAAGAAAATCATTTACACAACCATTGTACTTAATACGAAAAGAAATTAAAACTTTATCGTGAATATTAGTAAAAAATATAATAGATTTAATATCAGTCACATTATTTACAAGGACGTATGAATTATTTGTTAGTTTCAATCCAAAAAATTAACAAAAACACGATTATATTAAAACTAACACGAACCAACAGTGTACAGTATTAATTATCAATTATTTACAGTGTGATTACGTAATAAGTGCATTTGTTTTATTCTGTTTATATGGGCAGATAATATATTCATTGAATAATTAACTTTTTCAAAATAACATTTATTTATTTTTTGTTAGTGTTTTTTTTTTAAGATCAAACATTGTTAGGTATTTCTCTACATTCCACATGTTAGTAACACCCTAAAATACGTTTTAATACTGTTATTTTTGGCACAGTTATAGTGTTAATAAATTGAATTTTTATTCAGCGGAATCCGATTTCGGTGTTTTTGTTAATTTTGAGGTTGCTATTCGGTACAAAATTACAAATTAGATTGGGCAATAATAAAAACGAGAAATTATAAAATAAACACCTCAAATTTACAACAATTGCCCAAAAATGGCACAAGTCACAGCAATTAATTTAATTCATTTAACAATAGAGAAGCATTAAATGGAACACACATCAAAGAAGGAAATATGTACAAAATTATATATTCAATATTTATTTTATATACCGACGGAGGTAAATTATAAAAAAAAATTTAGGAATAAAAATAGAAAAATAAAACTATTTTTCAAGATACATACTGTTAAATACACAATTCTAACGAGCTCAGATATATATATATATATTTTTTAATTATTGATCTGTAAACACCTTGTATCTATTAAATTACCATTTGATTCCCATATAAGTATCTCCTGTAAACAGTTGTCGGTGTTTTTAAAAATACCCTATTTATTTGAATAGATAACGATCGTTTCGTATCAAATTTTCAAAAAATATTCACTTGTTCCAAGCTGTCAATGTTTTGTTTTAAAATATACATATATTATGAAACAAAACATAAAAATTAAAAACTTTAAACTAAGTAGTATATTAAAAAATACTTAAAAACAAGTTTTTTTAATATTACTTTGATGTGTGTTAATAATAATTGACAGAACTGACTGATTCATGATCGACTCGTATATTTATACAAAATAAAAAAAATTGATATGTTACTTTTAGGGAACTAAAGTTCTTCTGTTGGCGGCCTAACTGCTTCGTCAACACTATGTTCTAGAAGCACAGCCTTTTCGTCTTTTACGCTACTCGTCCCATTGTAAACAGATTCATAGACCGGGTTAGCAAAGTTACCAGACTGAAAAAAAAAAGAATATTTACAAAAATTATTATAAATTATAGTTTATTTTCGATATACATGTGTTCAGTTCAAACCACTGAAATAGAATGAAAAGGAGATGCTATGACGATACTAAAATTGCCCGCTCCTTTGCATTACACTTTTACGTAACATGTCAAACCCAAGTCAGTTTTAGTGAGAATAAATTGCCATTTTTAAAAAACAGCTTCATTAAAATAATACAAAAACATTTTCATTCCGTCATTATTAATTCCGTATTATTGAAATAAATCAAAGTACATTTTGATTACACTTTTCCATCACTCGAAGTGCGTCCATCTGTCATATCGCAGATCGTCTCTACTTCATTCTATCTAGATGATTAAAACCTACAATGGAGTATGTATACAGTAGATAAATGTTTTGGTAAATTGCAACCTCTGTTCAAAAATGAAATCACTTAAAACTTGTTAAAAATTAGAAATTTCTACAAAATACAAAATTTGAAAAGCATGAATCTGTAAAAAGCATGCCAAAAATAATGAGTAATTAAAAAAACTGTCTTTATGATTTTTGATGATGAATAACGATAACTGTTTTTAGAAAAAAAATGTATTGGAGAACAAATAAGACATTTTCGAGATACATTAAAAGATCTAAAAAATACAACTTTAAAAACATGTGACAAAAGTGAACAAAATAGAAGAAGGTTGCAATCTAAAATATATGTCAAGATTCTCTTCAAAAACATTTAAGATATAAAAATTACTTAAGCGAAAGTGCCTCAGAAGCAGTTGAGGTATAGAATTCCTTATCTTTAAGGAATTCTATACCTCAACTGCTTCTGTCTATCTTTAGTTGCAAAATAAAATAATAAAAAAAAAAAACGTAAAAACGTTAACTGATACGCATAACGAAGTACCACTTTAAGCAAACGGGTCTAGAGATGGACGAAATCTGTTATAAATTATTTTTAAACTTAAAAATTTTGTGTTAAAGTCAATATTACCGTTTAATAAATTTTACTGACAGTTTTGATTGCCATTTTAAACAATATTTTCCAATTATAAATTTACAGTCAACTTTTAAAATATATTCTTCAGTGACTGTTATTTATAATATGAGATGTAATATATTAAATAGAATAATAATATAAATATACATATTAATGTCCTTTTCAATCAACGCACGCACCGACTGATGCGTGAAATAGAAGCATCGATGCTATATCGCTTCTTCCGATGCATGTGCGATCGGCTGGAGTTGTTCACTCTGATACAAGCAAAGAAGGCCCGAAAGTTTAATATTGCCTAGACTGTATACAAATTGGAAAATAAAATATCTACAGTATTGCGGATCGATATAAGCAGACAAGAACACATCATTAATGTAACGAAAACGGATTATTACGAATGATACGATAATTAAAAGCGCATTCCAGCAGGAGGCAGCACTTAACGTGGCGTTTTAACCACTAATTTTGACCAATTTTAAAAATGCAAAAAATCACTAAAATTCAAATTTGGGGATTATATTTAAAATACTGTTATTTAAAATAAAAAAATATCGTGTTTTTAGAAAGGAATTATTAATTTTACTTAATTATCAAAATTATTTTTAAATCATGTCTAATAAATTGTAGTCCATATAGTACCTTTAAACCACTAAAAATAAACAATTATATCAAATAGCATTATTCGTTTCAACGGCAACGGTTCGATGTCCATCAACATATATTTGAATTGACCATATCTATTAATAAAAATTAGTCAATTTCTTAATGCAGAGATGAACTGAACATATTGTATTAAATGATAATTACTTATGACCAACTAAAAAAGATAATACGCCTAAAAAACGTAAATTCCAAATTCAATGTTAGGGTAATAGAACCATAGCTCTCACAAACCCTAGATACAGCATCGAAAACAAATTTTAACCCCTTTCATGCTGGGCGCCATATTAAATAAGTTTTAAGTTGGCACTACTGACAAGACAGGATCGGTGCAAGGTTACGGAAGAAAATATAAATGGGGAGTAACTTTTCACAACTATTTTTCTTGAAATAAATATTTTTTTATGGTTTATTGTATACCACACCGAAAGATTTTCGGAATTAATGATTGATAGCTATAGAGAGACCATTGATACTTGTTTGAAATTTCGCCTTATGTTACTGTAACGTTTTTTAAATTTATTTATAGTTTATTTATTTAAAACACACTATTTACAATTTATATATGACGTACTAATTATTTTATATAATACTTAGGCACTATACTCACAATTCTAATTTATTTATTACAATTTATCTTTTCTGTCCAACACTTAAATTGTCCGTCGACAACTCGCGCTATTTATATAAAGCCAACTCTGTACTAGAACTGTCTACGTTTTCCAGAACGATCGAAAACTGCCATTTCTATGATTTATAAGGTAACAGTTTTGTTCGTTTCAAAAAATATTTTTAAAACGTCGTGTGTGAAGAATCTTCCATACATTTGCACATCTTATTAAAGCTTTCGCTTATTCGTGGCTCATGCTTCTAAATGCGCTTATTCGTGAATATAGTCTTCCCGCACTTGGTTCGTAAATAACTATTGTGAGGGAGAAGTACCGTCTCAATATTTTTCCAACCAACCTGTTTCCCCAAAAAGGTTTTCAGAATTAAATACAGTTTGTCCCATTAGGAATGGGACGTAGAGCAACTGAAGATTCTCTGAATAAAAATAAGATGACTAAACGAAACATGCTTAGGTAAAATGTTACTCGTTTTTGACATACAGTTTGTTATAGTTGAAAATTCAAAAATGTTTAATATATGTATCTTTTTTTATTATTCGTTATAATTTTACTAAATTTAGCTAACATTTTTGGTGTCATAAGATACATTTATCAGCAAAATTATAATTAAATAAAATTTGCCAGTGGTGTGCGGCATGGATAAATAACACTTTCATCTCTTCTAAATTTTACGTCACTCTCTAAAACTTATTTGCACTACAACACATTTTTTCATGTTTTTTTAAATAAATCATGTACTCTTGTTGTGAGCTCATAAAGTGATTGTGTTTCGAGATTTTTGCACACAAAGGTTAACAATCTTTATTTTAAATTATTTTAAAATTTTTAAATTTAATTTTTTTATTAGTTTTTAACAAGAGTAGATACATGATTTATTTAAAAAAAAACTTCAAAAAATGTATAATTATAATCCAAATAAGTTTTTGGGAATAGCGTAAAATGGAAAAGGATGAAAATGTTACTTACCCATACCGTACGCCACTGGTAAAGTAATTGATTTGTTGCTGATAGATCTTATGCTGAATTTAGTCGAATTATACTGAGTAATAAAAAAATTATAGCCATTAATAATTTTTGAATTTTCAACTATATCACCCTGTATTTTGAAAACGTGTAACATTTTACCTTCGATTTTACCAAAGCATGTTTCGTTTAATCGTCTTATTTTTAATCAGAGAATTTTCAGTTGTTCTGTCCCCTCCTTCTTAATAGGACACCCTGTATATATCAGGTAATTACCTCATACTGCAACCTTACGACGAGAAACTGTTAAAAAGCTCATCCACTTATCCACGATTGTGATAGAAACCCACGGTTCGTAGACAACACGGTTGCTGACACAGTGACGTCACGAAATGAAAAATCGAGCTGACAGACAATATTCTAGTTGGGGTCGTATGTTAGTTTTTTTTGAAAAATCTAATATTTTAATAATATTTAGTGGTGTTTATATTTTTATTTTTGGACTTTATACCTGTATTGGAGTTTTTATAAAATCGTTAATTTAATTTTTTTAAAGACAAGCTACAAAAGGCAAGGAAAAATCATGTAATGATTTCCGTCAAATTTCAAATGAATTACTTTTTATTTGAAATATAAAGAGAAATATATATTATTGTGTGAATGGTTTATATTATCTACTTATTTTGTTCATCTCTCGTTTAGTTTGTGTCATAGACTTTAAGTATTCGTCGTTCTGTAATAAATAAAATGTAAATTGTTACTTACTTTGTCGGCATCTAAAGTGAAAGGTTCGGCATCCCTTTCTTGGTAGATTGGATTACTAAAATCGTTCTCGTGTAATCTTTCATGTGAAAATGTAGTTCTTTTCTTAAAGATGTATTCAAATACTAAGAAACCAGCGATCAGTACAACTATAATGACTCCGATAGCTGATAAAACTGGTACTACAACGCTACGAGTTTCAACTTCTTCCTCCAGACCAAAGCTGTTAAGTTCACATCTGTAGAAAAAAATGGTTCAATTAGTTTTTGATTAAAAAAATTATAATTTTTTATGAATATTATGATTTTTAGATGTATGTCAAGCTAGCAGACCATATTTGTGGTTTTTGATCCTTATTTTACACCAAAATAAATTTCTGCTTTTCAGATTATTCAGTAAAGAACACTTAACTTCATTATTATTTACTAGCGGTAACCGGCGCGCATCACTGCGCCAAGAAAGATAACATATGCAGTTATTGGCAAATACGGAATATAATAATAAATGAGCTTTATTGAAATAACTGAACATCAACCAAATCCTTTAGCCTATTACATACCACAATGTGTATATGTATAAAAAAATGTAACAGTAATAGAATTTTGTTATGACTGTTAAAGGTCCCACTGTGATGTTATATATTCCCACTTGGTTATATATGAAGACTTCCTCTTGACATGCCTGAGTGGATCACGCAGTCTGCATGCCGTTCAATTATGTCTCTAGCCTCTTCTTTTTCACAGAATTTTTGAGTCAGATGTATTAATTGCTGTTTTATTGGTTTTACCTGGGTAATTTCATAGAGAAGGACATACTATTTTAGTAAGATGAGGATGTATTTAGGATTGCACATTGACCACAGTTTGTATAAAAGTCCTTGATGCCATACACTGTCGAAAGCCTCCCAGCTAGCACATAACGTTGCCAAGCCTTTCGGCGATGTTGCATTAAGGGAACGTAATAACATTACTATACAACGTAAATGCAACGTTCATGAGAAGTTGTTGAGGGAAATCAAAACCTCGCAAAACTTCTATTTGTTATTTACCTAGTTAACCTACCGTAAACATTACAAATCTGATTTCAGAACGTTTAGTTTTATGTCAATTGTCACTTGTCAGTTTTTCTAGTCAATTGTCTTTTTTAATGGTTTATTTTTCGACATCCAGAATTTATTTTATAAATAATTATTATTTATACATTCGAATAGATTTGGAAAGGGTCCTCTATAAAATAGATAAATATTTTCTAAACCATTGTCTTTGTTTCAGATTACAATGCCTGATGTAAATTTATTATTTCATTCATTAAGTATCTTTAGCAGTCGATGCCGATGACACCAAATAAAAAAAAACTACAATAAATACAAAGAATTGCAGATCAATCGTTGTAAACCAGAAGATAAACATTTAACCGAATGTCCGGCAACATTTTACACCAAATACTTATAAAAGGTAATTATACTTTATCGAACTAAAAATACATTTTAAAAATATTATTTTTTAGGTTTCCTTCGACATTCTAGGAATTTTAGAAGCAAAAGTAAATACTACAGAAGTGTAAAGAAGAATATAACACCTGAAGTTTTATAAAAAGTGAATCTATAGGTACATGATATGTCAGGTATATCAGAATTCAAGCAGTTCATTTTCTTCAACAGGCTAGATTGCCTGGAAATGCAACCATCATTTCAAGTGAAAACCCAGCAGAAAAGTTGAAAGAAATCATAGATGATAATCTCAAGTATAATAGAATATCTTGCTAAAAAACACTAGTTGTTTTTTATAAAATCTACATATCGATGGCTCAATCAAATACTGCCACAACTAAATTACTATTATTTCGAGAAATTTCATTTTGAAATTTTGTAAGTCTCTATTATCATTATTTTGTTTTGGACATACTCTTTATATTTTATTTAAAAGCTTCGATATTTTGCTGTTAAATAAAATGATTACGATTATAAAAGTGAGTTGTTGCATAGTTGTAAAAAATTTGGGTGTTTTTGAAGAAAATAACTCGAATTGAGGCAGTTTTAGACACAGTTTGTGGCTACATTTTAAATGATTTATCTTTAAGGATATTTTTGTTTGTGGTGGTATTTAAAGTAAAACCGTAATGATATTTTGCATCCATTGAACCAAAAATGTAATTGCTTTGTTTTTTGACTTGTGGCGTTTTTTGATTGAGCCATCGTAATATCTACTTTGGAAATCAAGCATAAAATTTGTAAAATTCAAACAAATTTCAATACACTAACATTGGTTGTTTTATTTAAAACAACAAAGTAAGGCATATTTTTTAATTTCTATATAATTTCCTTTAATTAATAATAGGTAAACAAGTTATCAATTTCTTTTTTATTCAATGTATTGAGAAGTAAAATCTTTTTATATAAAAATATAATTTATTCTCTTCTAATAAATTGTCATATTTAGGTTACATTATAGCACTTTATAAATATCTATGCAAAAAAAGTTAAAAGGCTTGATTTAAAAAAGATATATCTCTGCGTCTTAGGTAATAAATCAGCTAACTTAGCTATCCTCTAGTAATCTAATATAATAATATGTACCTAGTCATTGTTGTATTTGTTTATTATTTTTCACCAATCTAGCTTTATCATCGTTCACCATTTAAGGTTTTAGTGAACCTTTGCAATATTGGTACCTTATTATACTATTTAGCTAATTTTGTCCAATCGTTCAGTGCTTTCTAGGTAGCTTCTTCTATCCCACATGTGTACTTGTGTTTGTGATATAAGGTGTGTTCTTTTATTCAATAATTGTTCTATCAGTGATTGATGTAATTTATCTATTCTGCAGTCGTTTTATATTTGAACTCTTATATTTTAGGTTAACTTAAATGATTGATTATCCTCACCATTCGTCTATCACATATCCATCGGCTTTTAAAGCCGATGGATGCCTTGGCTCATTGGTGAACTCACTGCTGGAAAAAAGAATGATTGACACATACAATCGTCTTTCCATCACTTAATTTACGAACGGTTTGCTGCAAGCGCTGGATACAGCACTGAATAAAAGAACACGCCTACACCTACCTCTACTTTTGTGCTATTGGTACTTGATTTCAAGAACATTTTAATAATAAATTTATATAAATATTTTGTTTTATTTGAAATTTTCATGTCTCGATTGAGATTTTACTATAGCCTCAATTTCAGCCTCTCTGTATTACATTACACAATGTGTGTCCATGGATGGACTTAATTATACTTGTAAAAATATTTATTTTAAATTAAAGAAAAAGTTATTTTTCATAATTTCTCAATGTGAATCGAATTTATTTAACAAGCAAGAAATTATGAAGAATTACTTTTTTAATTTAAAATAAATATTTTCACAAGTATAGTTAAGCCCATCCGTGGACACACTGTATAATGCTGTAGATCTAATTCACATTATAACATCAATAGAACGTTTCAGAGCAACTTTCGGGGTAAGTACCGTAAAAGTGCTAGTGTGATGTTTTCCGAACTTCACTTTATAACTTCTACGAGATGTGCTATAAAAGTCTTGCAGTTGCGGACATTCGGTAGTTGCAGGGATAATAGGGTTACGTTTACGGTACATTGCATGCGAGCTTAAAGAGCCTAAAATTGCAGCTTATTAACGTAGATGGGATGTTTTTGTGCTAGCTGGGCTTGATAAAGTCCAGAAATACTGCTGCACTATACTCGCCTTTTAGTTCTACGGTTTGTACATTGGAGGTTATAACTGTTACCGGATGTACTTACTGTTGAACATTTTTCATGAAACCCGAACTGATTTTATGACTGATTTCTTGAGTTAGAATGTTTCTGATGATTATTTGTTTCAAAGTTTTTACTTAATACTGACAAAAGAGTAATAGGTCTGTAGTTCCTCGGTTCCTTGTGGCATGTATTCAGTTTAGGAATTGTGATTATGATTCCGTGTTTGCATTCAGGGAGAAAGTACATATGATTAAGGCAGTATTCATAAATTTTCTTTATGTGAACGTGTATATTATATTCTAGTTTTCTTACAGCCGTATGCATAGTCGATCGCCAGCGACTCGCCAGAGATTCATTTCGGCGTATCGCCAGCGATCCGCTGGCGTAAGCCCAAAAAGCTGGCGACTCGCCGGAGATTGTCACCGGAATGTCATTTCACGAAAGTTTTTATTTTCTTTTATAGGGATTATCACCGGTATCTCTCGCATTTTATTCATGATTCATTTCTTAAAACTCAAAAAATAATGAACGAATATCAAATTTTTCCCTATAAAAGAACATGAAAACTTGCGTGAAATGACATTCCGGTGACAATCTCCGGCGAGTCGCCAGCTTTTTGGGCTTTCGCCGGCGGATCGCCAGCGAATCTGGCGATACGCCGAAATGAATCTCTAGCGAGTCGCTGGCGAGTCGCTGGCGACCGACTATGCATACGGCTGTTAGTATGTTCTTGGTAATGCAACTATGTCATGTCCAGGTGATGTACTTTTCCCCTTAGATTAGATTTAAAAGGAGTTGGACATTATTTGTCCTTATCCACTGCGATGTTTTCAGATCTATTTTGGGACTCCGTTTTTTAGAGTATGTTTAGCTTGGTTTTTTTGATTAGACTTAGTAGCTCCGACACTGGCTCCCGCATGTAGCTGCATGAGTTTGGCATATCTTCGCCTAATGTTAGAAACCTCATTAGAATGAGGCTAGAGCCAGGACTTCACACTGGTACATGACGTGGATTGATATTTCCTCTTCTTCTTCACAGAACATTCACAAAGTTGCTTCTTCTGCTGGATTTATGACCTTCATGTGCCTTCTTAGGCGACAGTGTCCAGTAAGAAGACCTACTGTTATCCTAACGATTTAGTTTTTGATCCAGTAGGTCTTTCATGAACTTGGCCGATAGTTCCTTGATGAATTGTTTGGCCTGTCTCAGTCTTGGATAGTTTTTCCACCATTCCTGAGACTCTTTTTGCATCCACTGTTTGATGGATGCCTTACACAAGGCCTTAGTAACTCCACAGAAAGTTCCGGGCCTGTCATAGCCTTATCGGGCTAATTCGTCGGCCTTTTCGTTGCCCTGATATTACTCGTGGCCTGGCATCCAGGCTAGGGTTACTTTTCCCCTTAAACACTATGTAGAAATATTTTTCTTCAGCTATTTCCTTATTTTCAATGTTAGGTGTATTAATAAAATATGTTTCATGCAATGTTGTGACTAGTGCATAATATCAAATTGAGGGCCGTTCTCTTTAATAAAATGGCTGCTTTTTCTTCATATATTTCGAATTTTGATATTTTTTTATTTGTTGCCACTATTTTTTTCCTGTTGTTCGTTTATCTCATTGCAAACAATCATCCATTTATGTTTTTTATAACGCTATTGCAGCATTGTTTCATTGACAGAGTCTATATTAAATTTGTTGATATTTATTCTATGTTTTTCTTCATAGTTAATATTTTTGTTAAGGTCTATTGAAACTTATATAACAGAATCAGACACGGAGTAGTGTCGTTCATGTGAAATGATATGTTATGTATTTGAACCAACAATTTTTTTAAAAATCCTGTAACCGCTTGTTCTTGGCTTTATCGATGTTAAAGTCTCTAAAAATTATACAGTACTTGTATAGTGCGGCTTTATTAAAGAAGATAGATTGTTCTATTACTGAAGTAGGATGTACATAATACCAAAATAATATGTAGTCTGTCTTCTAAACAGGAAACCGAAAAGTGTGTTGCTTCATTAAGAGGATTGTTGATTCTTCGAGGATTTTCTTTTTTCATTTGTAGGCTTGGATTGATCTGCACTAAACTTCCTCCTCTTAGGTTGACATTTACCACATTTCCATTTTTCTGAATAGTTTTTTAGTTTTTGTATTTTGCGTTAATTTTCTCATTACTTGGTTTTTACGAATAAACCACAGTTCATGTTCTTCTGTTCCATTATATTGCAAATAAGATGTTTCTTTGGTATATGGCTATTAATATTGGCATAAATTTTAAGTGTCGACATGAAATTGAGATCATTATTTATATTGATAGTGGTTCGTCTAGATTAGATTAAACATCAGGATGTAAAGTCTGTTTCTCGAGAAGTGAGTACCTATATTGTATTGTGTAACAAATCTTTTTCTGGGTTTATGAAGCAGTTCTCTCTGTGTATTTTTTTCTTTATTAAGTTTATTGCCATATGTATTAAGAATGTGATCATGAACTGTATTGTTTGAATGCATCTTACTGCTTATGGTAATTTATTTATCTCTTTAAATTTTTAGTTTAACAATTATATGGGATTGTTGGGAATTCCTTGAATTGGTTTTATTGGACGTTTTGTGCATTTCAGCGACCATGCAGTGTGTTCTTCAGCATCGCAGCTTACACACTTTTGTCGAATTTGTGTGTTATATTTGCTGAAATGATGTGGTCCATTACACTTGCTACATTTAATTGGAGTTGTACAGTTTTCCATTGTGTGTAAATTGTTGACAGAGAGAGCATGGATGAGTAGGATATACTGGAAAATGTTTGAGTTTGTAAAATACACCTTCAGTTAATATTTTTTCTGTGGATTTTAGGTATCCAGATATGATTCTAATCATGTATGTTGCTTTAGGTGTTATTCTTTTACAATATCTGTAATCTATGTTTGAATTTATAGGGAATGTACTTATTTCTTCATCTGTTATATCGTATTCAACAGATTCAATGTGTTTTTTGACGTATTGCTTTTGTATACCAATGTCTTATTGGAAAATTTTGTTTCAGAGTAAAAAATTATATTTCGGATTAAGCTATTAATAGCGTATATTCATTAATAAAATGATTTGTAGTCACAACTTGATTTTTGTCTTCATTCAAATTGATCACTTTTAAAAAAAAATTGTTTGAGTCAGACTTACTAGAGTTAAGTTTACAAATATAAACATAAGAGAGTGCTCTGACAGCTTGATAGCAAGTTGTAAAATTAAAAAAGTATGCAATGCATTTAACACAGTGATTTCAACACGTACCTTGTTCCACTTATTCCTTTTGAGCACACACAATATGCCAGTCCTTCACTAGTGATGGAACAGGTTCCACCATTTCGACAATAATCATCACAAGCAGTAGGTCTATCACAATATGGTCCTGACCAGCGCCTTGTACAATGACATATGGGGGGTTGATCTGGATCAGGAAGAACACAAACGCCTCCATTCAAGCAGCGATTTATGCATGGGTTGGGACTCAATAAATATTTCTAAAAAAAAAAAAAACATTTTTACCAAACAAGCAAACTGAGAAACTGACCACAAATGAAAAAATACGAGAATAATCCCAAAAGTAAGGTCTCCTACATTTTTAGAAATATATTTACATAAATATTTTAAAGGTTGAACATTTGTCTATTTGAATTTGTAAGCTCTTAATGTTTTCAAAAATAAAATCAAAAATGCTTCTTTGTTTTTATAGGAAACACCTGACAACTGCATCGAAATTTGGTCATATTTTTCCAAGAATGAGGGGCGACTAATATTAATTTCACATTTAAAATTGAGTTCTTATTATATATGTAATAAATATTTTAATGTACCTCACTTTTAATAAATGATTAAAATGTTTCAAATATTTTTGTTTATATCTATTTTTTGGAGTTTTATCACTAACAAAATAAAGTATACATACATTTTTGAAGTTTTTACAGTAATTTTAAAATTAAACAATAAATAATTTTTGGTAAGTTGTTAAAAACTTACATCACAATTGTATCCATAATACATTTCAAGACACTGACACACAACTTCATCAACTTCTTCATTGGGTTTAACGCAAACTCCAGAATTTTTACATGTGCACTTCTCAGCACACCCTCTGGGAGGATATCTTCCTGAACACAAGTCTATTTCGCATCTCCTTCCGGTGAAGAACTTGCTGCAAATACATTCGGGTACTTTCGCCCCTTGTCGGCAAGTGCCGCCATTTTGACAATGATTGTCGCACATGTTTCGGTCACAAGTATCGCCCGTGTAGCCTGGAGAGCAAGCACATTTTGAACCATCGCCTATCGGTCGACCATGACTACCGCATATAGAGATTTCACAAGAGCGACCTAAAAATAATAAAACGAATTCATAAAAAAGGAAATTTAAATATAAGTGACAATTCTGTCAAACTAATTGTCAGTATTTTTAGTTATTTTGTCTTACTAAAATAATATTTAAAATTTGTAAATTTGCATTAGTGGGTCGTAGAAAAAATATACTGTACAACTCGAGTAGATTGTCCATATCCACTCTTGTTGTACAAACTACTATTTTCTGAAATATGTACTTACCCCGATAACCTGGTACACAAATGCAAGTTTCTTGATTGTTTCGGATACTGCAAACTCCGCCATTTTGACAGATCAAGCCGGCGCAATTTTGACAACGATTTCCTGAAAATCCTGTTTTGCAGCTGCAATGGGGTACGCCTGTTTCTAATGTAACACAAGTACCTTGATTATAACATCTCCCTATAAATTAAGAAAAAAACAAATATTTGGAAAAATGTATTGTAAATTCAGAATTTATTTATATATTTTGTTTTCGTAATTTTAAACCAATTACACATAATAATCTTAAGTAAATAACCTACATTATAATTATTAAAATTAATTATCTACAAAATATTACCTTCACAGAGATCAACAGGTGTTTCGCATCTTTCTCCGGTCCATTGTGGAGGACAATTGCACTTAAGTGGTGATTTTGAATCTGTACTTTTAGCGGAATGGACGTCGACATAGCACATTCCGTGATTTTTACAATATTGTGAACACCTATAGGTTTCGCATCTTGGACCTGTATATTGTGGGGGACAAATGCATTTCTGGCCCTGTCCTTGGATTAGTTTGCAGGTTCCAGTATGACAGTTCAAGAAACATTCATTACTTCTTGATGACGCTGCTTTACAAGTCTTTAAAAAATATTTGATATTAATTGAAATTGTAAAACTTTTCTGTTTAGTATCTATCTCAGATCTATGTCTCAAAAAACACCTCAATATATTGAAATGCAAATATTTAACAAGGCTTTAGAGCACAATGGTGGTAGGAAAATAACAAGCAAGTTGGACTAGGATAGAGAGGGAACATAATTCATGAAAGCATTTTTGAATATTTTGGAATAAAATATATTGGTTCTGACTTTTATTTTATTTAATCAAAAAATGACAACCTTTTATAAAAAACATCTAACCATCTAGTTATACAATATAGTCAACAAGTAAGTGTAAATAAAAAATTAGATAAAATCAGAGCTGCATACTCAACACTCTCCCTCAGTGATGATTTTTGTAAATTTCTTGAGAAAATATTTATAGTTCCTTGCCAATTGGCTTCGTTAGCATATCTGCTATATTTTCTTTAGTTGAGACATACTGGATATCTATTGTATTGTCCATGAACCTCTCTCTTACATAATGGTAATGAACATCTATATGCTTGCTTCGCTGGTGTAAAACTGGGTTGGATGCTATATGTATAGAGGCTTGATTATCACACAATATCATAGGCCTATGCTTACGTTTTAAATCTTTAAGCACATGGGCCATCCAGATTAGTTGTCGACTTGATAAAGACAGGGCCATATATTCAGATTCCGTTGTGGAAACAGCTACACTTTGTTGCCTTTTGGTGGTCCATGTAACAGCAGCATTTCCATAAAATCCTACATACCCACTCTTTGATCTTCTAGTGTCCAATGAATCTGCATATGAAGCATCACTATACATATAAAGTTTTGGATTTATTGTCTGTTCGTACTTCAAATTGATATCCACAGTTCCTTTTAGGTAGCGAAATATGTGTTGAATCATATTGGAATGTTCATTTGTTGGATCTGAACTAAACTGAGAGAGGATGTTTACGGAATATGCGATATCCGGCCTTGTTCCCAAAGCCAAATATAAAAGACTGCCAATCTTAGACTGATAGACTTCTTTGTTAGTCCTAGGATCAGTTTCTTTGGCCGTCTGAGGTTTTGTTCCAATATCCATTGGTGTTGAAACAGGTTTACAATTTTTCATACCATATTTTTCTAAAATCCTTGTTATGTACTGTTTTTGGGATAGAAAAACACAGTCTTTTTCCCAAGATATTTGTAAGGAAAGTAGAAAATTAGGTATGCCTAGATGAGTTACACCAAAATATTGCTTCAAAGTTTTTTCCACGATTTCAACATGATTTTCAGTGGATCCTAGGATTAGAAGGTCGTCGACATAAATAGCAATTATTTGGGCACCATCCTCTGAAACGAACAAACAAGGATCTGCCTTAGATTGGCTTAAATTAATAGTTTTTAAAACAGTAACTAATTTTTGATTCCACTGCCTGGGAGATTGTTTTAAGCCATAAATACTCTTTTTTAAACAGCACACTCTCCCTGGCTGAGCAATTATGCCTTCTGGTATTTTCATAAAAATATTAAAATCTAGATCACCATTTAAAAAGGCGGTTTTAATGTCTAATTGTCTTGCAATCATTTGTCTATGAATACAATGAGCTAACAATATTCTTATTGTTTCATAACGAATTACCGGGGCATAAGTCTCATCGAAGTCAATACCAGGAATTTGAGTAAATCCCTGTGCAACTAGTCTGGATTTGTATTTTATAATTTCTCCTTTATCCGATCTTTTTTTCTTAAAAATCCACTTGCATCCAACTACTCTTCCATTAGGTGGTTGTTGGACTATTTCCCATACATGATTATCCTTAGACTTTAGTTCATCCTGTATAGATAAGATCCAATTATGAGATTCTGGTCCTGTAACTGCTTCCGTATACGAAACTGGATCATCATTAGCGTAGTGCAAGTATTCATCATAATAATCTGGAGACTTACTTGTCCTGCAGCTACGCCTTGGTTGGACTATTTCTGGGGATACTTCCGAAATTACTTTATTTTCGTCATCTTCGTCTCTAATTATATTTTCTTCAATATTTAAATCCGAATTTGGGTTTTGTTCATTATCATCGTTTATTTTTGCATCTTCTCTTTCTTCTATTTCGTTCCAAGTATTACTCCTTGGCAAACTCTCAATAAATACTACTTCTTCTTCTTGTCTACGAAATTTATAATCCCTTGATATTATTACTTTCTTGCCGTCATAAAATCGATACCACCCATTTTTTTTAGCATAACCCACCATCACACCGTCGAACGATCTGGGACAAAATTTACTTCCAGCTGCTTGTGCTTCTTTAGGGATATGCAAATAGGCTTTTTCACCGAAGATTTTCAGATGAGATATAAATGGTTGTTCCTTAAAAAACATTTCAAAAGGTGTGAGTTTATGAAATGAGTGTGGTAGTCTGTTTTTTGTATAAGCGGAATATGCCACTGCTTCTGCCCAAAGACTCTGTGGCAACTTAGAATCTATCAAACATGTTCTCGCCATTGTTGTTAAAGTTCTGTTTAAACGTTCGGCTAATCCGTTAGTTTCATGAATTCGTGGAATTGAATTTTCCACTGTGATTCCATTGCCCTTAAAAAACTCCTTTAGGGAATTTGACATGTATTCGCCACCATTATCAGATTTGAAGAAACTCACTTTTAATCCAGTAATTCTTTCTATTTTTAAAATATACTCTTTTATAACATTTTGTACTTCACTCTTGTGAGAAATGAAAAACACTTCGGTGTCTCGAGAAAATTCATCAATTAATGTTACGTATAATTGTTTTCCACCAAGAGATTTTGAAGAAAAAGGTCCTGCAACATCCGAATGAATTTTCTCCAAAATTCTTGCACATGAATTACCCTCAACTTTTGGGAGAACTCGTGTCATTTTAGATTTAATACAGGGTTCACATTCTATAATTGGTCGTTCGTTTGGAAGTACTTCAGGATCAGCAACCACTTTCTTTATAGCATCGAACATGTTAATAGGCAAATGTCCCAACCGTCTATGCCACTCTGTGATAGAAGCATTAGCAAATTCATGATATTCTTGAAAGACTTGTTGTTTGTTAGAGGAAATTACCCAACCTACTATTTTTGCATTTTTCCATAGAGTTATCTCATCCTCGTTACCTTTCATACATATTCCTTTAGATTTTATTTTTTCCCATGACATAAGAGAACACTTTAAATCTTTTGAATACAATACATCGTAAAGAGTGATTGTCTTTATTTTATTGGACGGCAACAACGCCTTAATGGTAACATTACCAATGTGAGATACATGAATAACATCATTATTTCCCAAACGAATAATACTATTAAATGGTTTTAATTCCTTGAAACATTCTCTATTTCTCGACATGTGTGATGTAGCTCCTGTGTCGAAAATCCACTGCCAGTTCCTGCTCTTGCATGTGAAAGCTGGATATGCTATGTTTTCATCGGAATCAGAAGTAGCGAAGGTATTATTTGCTTGTTCATTTTTTCTTTTATTTCTGCAATTATTAATAGTGTGACCTTTATACCACCTTTTATTTTCTTTGCAGAATAAGCATTCTAAGGATTGATATTTAAGGATTTTTTTCTTTTTCTGGTTACTTAAAAATGCTTGATTTTCTTCACACTCTGTATTTACTGCACACCCCGTATTTACTACATTAAGTTCAAGTAATCTGGCACATACATCATCGTATGTTAAATTATCTTTGGTTGTCAAATTATCTATAATGTTATCGATTTCACTTGGTAACGTAGTTAAAAATAGTGATCCTTTCGCTTTTAAAGAGGTCGCCAATGGTCTGAATGCTGCTTCTAGTGATTCTTTGTCTGTTTCATTAGACCTGATTGCGGTTCTTTCAATTAATCTTGCCCAAAGTTCATTATATTTACCAATATGCTCAGGAATAGTTTTTACAGATTCACACTTAATACCAACTATAGCCTTAACCAAAGCATGCAAGGAATACTCATTTTTCTTGTCAAAAATGTTGTTTAATGCGTTCCACATACATACTGCGCCAGGATAACATGTAATTTGGGGTACAATTTCTGAATCAACATTAAAGAGAATGAATGCTTTAGCAAGAGAATGTCTGTATCTCCAACTTTCGCATTGTTCAATATATTCTTTAGCTGCGGCATTTTCTTCTGGCTTCTTTTGAAGTGCAGGATCCTTTTCCTCGCCAAATACTAATTTTTCTAAATTAGTTAACTCAAAATACGCACATGCCATGGTTTTCCACGAATGAAAATTATGTTTTCCATGGAGTTTTTCAAATTTTGGAAACTTGTCCATGTTTAATATTTATATTCCTTTATTCTTAGCGTCGGCCTGGGCTCATAACCTTTTGAATATTTTGGAATACAATATATTGGTTCTGACTTTTATTTTATTTAATCAAAAACTGACAACCTTTTATAAAAAACATCTAACCATCTAGTTATACAATATAGTCAACAAGTAAGTGTAAATAAAAAATTAGATAAAGTCAGAGCTGCATACTCAACAAGCATAACATTAAAAATAGAGAAACAACTAAACTGCGAAAATTAGAACGGGAAAGGCAGATGAAAAGGATGGATGAATGGATAGAAGGGCTAGGATATAAAAAGAAAAGACCATCAATGGGAGGAGCGAACTAATAAAAAAATGGAAGATAAAGAAACAATGATGAAAGTTTTAATTTATTAATTATTTACTTACCAAATTATCCTTGACATAACCATCAGGACAGGTACAAGTTGCTCCTCTAGGGGTCAATAAACAAAACTCGCTGTCATTACAAAAATCATAACAAGTGTTATTCATTTTGGCATGCTTGTGCTCGTGTAATATCAAAATGTCAGAAATTCTAGTAAGACCTTGTACCAAATATGTTATGTTTCCTTTTCCAAATTTGTTCATCCTGAATATATCATGTTTATTGTGAGTAGAAACAAAGAGATTTTCTTCAAATATTTCTATTTTATATGGACGAATGTCTGAAAAAAATATTGAGTTTTCAATAATTCACAGAATTTGTGAGAAAGTATACTAACCTTTATCAAAGTGTCTAATAATATGCCTATCGGTTCCATCATAAAGGACACTTTCTATTGTCATCGTTTTTGGATCGGCCCAATAAAGTCTGTTTGTACCATGATCGATTGCCAATCCAGTAGGCCACAATATTCCAGTACTGACAAGAATTCTTCTTTTGTAACCATCCATATTTGCTGTTTCTATCCTAGCAGTAGGACCCCAATCAGCCCAAAACAACACTCCTTGATCTGATGCTACCACTAAGTCCCTAATAATCAAAAATATAAATATATTTAAGCATCTTATGATAATAAAAAAGTAACGCATAAAAGTTTCGTTTAACTTTGTTTTCGCATTTCCCAATATTTCAGCTTACCTTGGTTGTTGCATGTCTCCTTTAAACAACGTATACGCATAATTCCCGTCTAAAGTAGCAGCTAATAACCTATTCCCATCGGTTATATAAATTCTTCTAGCTATCCAATCTATACTGATGCCCCTAGGATCTTGTAAGTTCGATAAAATCGTCTTGGCAACATCGGCATCTCTGTTTGAACGTCCATCTTTGTCTATGTGTATAACGATGGACTGGACCCGCTTGGATTGATGGTCAGTCCAATATGCAATAGCTTGTCTACCGCTTGATAAAATGTCCACCGCGTCTACTTTGTAACCAGGGGCCGTTGCTAAAGTTTTTCTGTAAAAATATACGTGGGCTTATCTTATTTTATTTTTACTTCATGTTGCTATTTTTCAGTTCACAGATTAGACAAAAATGAAAGTTTTATTAAATTATATCATGCATAAAATTAACATTCGCTAAGGCAGATTTTTACTTTTCTGTCTGTTTACATAATATTAAAAGTAATTATACAGACTGAGGTACTCGTCAATTTCATTTACCATAAAATTATTGTAATTTATTAATTTAGATTATTTACGTAATATTTTGTAACATAACACAACAGATCATCTTCTTTGCATCATTTATACGATATAATAAAAAAAAAATTCATAAATATATTTTTGACATATATAATTCCTCATAATATACTTGATAAGAAACTAACGGCAATACGGTAAATATCTGCCATCTACACTGCACATGTTCACTAACAACCGCGTCTGTATAGAATCCTCTATTTTTGTATACGATAGGAATTAAAAATAAAAATATATACCTTATTACAAAAATAACGATACTTATACTCTGCATACATTTCTGCAGAACAATAAATAGAAGTTATAGAAGTAAAATAACTTGACAAAGAACAAACCTCAGTTTATTATCATCATCGCCGCTCTTATAAGGCGACATAAGCCTTAATTCAGCTTCAGCAGCTAAGACTAATTCAGCTAAATCTCCCATCGCTTGGCATTGTCCAGCATCAGTATGTCTGTAACCAGGTAGACATTTGCACACAGTTTGATTTTGCCTGACTTCCACACATATCTGCGAGCAGCTGTTCCATTTGCAAGCTGACGTTTCGCAATCTGCTTCGTCGCTTCCATCGTCGCAATCCTCCGAACCATCACAGTGAAGAGAAGTGTCCACACACCGCCCGCTTTTACAGGAAAACTGGGTCGGCGGACAAAGGCCGTATCTACAAAAAAAGACGTTTTGTAAATTTAGCTGTTATAGTAATTTGAATGAACAGTTTAACAGAACCTACGTAAAATACAAAAGCAGTGGTTGTCATTATGGCAGTGGCGGATTTAGAGACTCCCAGAGATTTTTTAAATAAAGTAAAATAACATTATGTCTAAATAAATTTAACGTAATTGAAAAAGTTGAACACTCTACGAATTGAGCTATCAGGGTTATGTCACTTGAATTATCTAATCAAATATGTAATTAAATGTAGTTACTTTAAAATTATTTTAATAATTTGTTAAGAAAATATAAATTAATATTAACAATTTAATCATCAAATCGATTTTACTTTTAATATGGACTTTACATAAATCAAGATAGAAATTATACTTATATACACCATACTTATATACACTGCGCTTATACCTTCAATAAATAGTTTATATTTTCTTTATTTATTTTCCTCAAAAAAAAATCATGAAGTAATTCACCCTATAAAACATTATTTGCCTTCATAGCGGATAAATCAATAATCCCTGTATAAAATAATATAAGAGAGTCAAAAAGATTGCATACATTTTAGCACTGAGAGTGACGCATAGAGGGTAGAGAGACCAATGTTTGCTTTCCTGTAAAACCATGACATCACTAATTGTTTATTGCTATATTTTTGTTAATTTAAAAGCAAAAAATATGGGGAAAGCACTCTTACCTTGTCAATACATAGGCGAAACTTTTATGATGGCCTTCGTTTTTCGTCAAATGAAAGGTTATTATGAAAGAAGATTTTTTAACCAAATTTGTGAGATATTTATGTTTAAATTTTTTTTCGACCATAAGGACTAATGCAAATTATTTTTTTTAAATAATTATAAAAAATACCCCCTACAAAGTCCTAATTGTGCATTAGACCAAAAAATTAGTATTTTTTTTTTCTCTATACGGTGGTATCAATACCTCGATTTTTTATGATAGTAACCTTTTGCCCTGTTTAATTTTGTAGTACCTCCGGAATAAGGATTAGCTTATAATGTACTTTCATCCTTGAAAAATTCGAAGTGGGAGGCAAAGTCAAAATAAGTTTTAATCTACACCATACCATATTGTAAAATACATATTATTTTGTGCTATTGTGGAATATTTTTTGATTCTTTTGTTTCAATTTCGCACGTTAGAGTTTAGAATATGTATCCCTTGTATCTAAATGCAATTGTTAAAATTATGAATGAATGCTGATTTTGTTTAGTCTCGGAAGTAATTTTGTAGTATTTAGGCTCCACCCTTAAGTTGTAATTTTTATACCTACTAAACTACCGTTGCCCCGCAGATCTTTCAGTTTGTAATGTAAATTTTCCTCTTAAACAATAAAGAATGTTTTGAGGAAATCAATTGAGTCGTGTTCCTTCGCTATCGTAGAGCGGTGGTACAATGAATTTCAATGTGGTCAACTTTTCTTAAATAACAGTTTATTATTAGTCAACATTTTAGAAGATTTGAACATCATCAGGTAAGTACGAACCTGTATCTCTTAGATAAAAATTTTTGGACTAGTAAATGCTGTACTATCGGTTTTAGAAATTATGAATTATATACCATCGGCAAAATTGCAGTTGTATTTTTTGTTATTTTTTTTGAAAATACATGTCAAAATTACATGATTAAAAATCTGATGTGTCCAATACATGACTTTCCTGTCTAGTTATTACAGGCTTTTTCCGGTTATTTTGTACAACTTATTGTATCACCCCTGTATATGTTTGGAGGATGGACTAAATACATACATTTTTCACACACATCTTACAAATTGTTATGTGAGCCATTTCATTATTCAGTCATGCTCTAACCCTACAAGTCCCTCTCTGTCTTATTTGGCCTTTGAGGCTCAACTTGTCCGATTATTATACATAATTAAACCCCGTAAGACCAAACCTATGGGACTACTATGGCGGAGGTGATTTCGATGACTATTCGAGAAAGGACGAGATAATATTTCTGGTCTGTTCCAAATATTTATAGTTTCGTGGAGGAGCTTCTAGACTCCACCAAACTTTAGAAATTTTTATATAAATATTGGTGGAAGAACACAGTGCAATCAGTTATTATATGGACAGTGAAGTTAAATAGTAATTAGTAGATAGACAGTGGTGAATATAAATAGTGATCAGTTTAAAGACATTCGAAGTATATATAAATTAGAATAGTTGTGTTATAAAATAAATAAGTGTTTAAATAAATTATTAATAAATAAACTGTTGTTTTAAAATAAACAAACATCACATTGGTGTCAAGAAGTGGAATAGTGTAAATAAATAGTGGACAATAATGGCTAAAAGACTGTGTGATTTAAAAGTGACCGAGCTATGTCGGGAGTTAGAAGATCGCGAGTTGGAGACGACAGGGAAGAAAGCAGAACTGGCAGAACGGCTTAAAGAAGCACTGGAAAGTGAAGGTTTGGATCCGGAAACGTTTCTATTTTCGGATGATGCGTCTTCTATCATTTCTTCAATTTCCGATATGCTTTGAAAACCGATATTTCGTCTGACATTTCTTCATTGGAAACTAAAGTTTCTTCCATGGAAAGTAAAGTTTCTTCTGACATTACTTCCTTAGAAAGTAAAGTTTGGTCTGACATATCTTCTTTAAAAACCGAAATTTCTTCCGACTTGGAAACCAAAATGTCTTCTATGGAAAATAAATTTTCGTCCAATATTTCTTCCTTAGAAGAAAAAGTGTCTTCCGAAATGTCTTCTTTAAAAGATGAAATCTCTTCTGATATGACTTCCATGAAAAACGAAATTTCTTCTATGGAGGATAAGATTTCTTCCGTTGAGGAGAAAATAAAAGAAATGGAAAAGAAGATAGAAGAACTGGAACATTCAGACCCGGCCAAGGACGTTGAAATTAAGTGCCATGAGGTGGAGTCGAAGTTGAAATTGGAAGGAGCTGTAAACTCTCCTCGTGTTAAAACCCCAACTTTTGACGGGAAGATGTCTTGGACGAACTACCTTAAGCAGTTCGAAACAGCTGCCAGAGCAAACGAGTGGTCTGAACGAGAAAAGGCAATAAATTTGACCATCGCCCTTCGAGGAGACGCTTTGGATGTCCTTCAGACTATACCCGTGGAAGAGACAGATGATTTCGAGCAACTCAAAAAGAGACTAAATATGCGATATGGCCACGAACACTTGGAGCAGGTATACAGATTACAGTTGAAGAATCGCAAACAGAAACGTGATGAGAGCCTTCAAGAATTTGAATTAGATATTGCGATTTGCTTACTCATCAGCTCCGGAATACGTGATTGAATGTTTGGCCGTTCAAGCATTTATAGATGGACTTCGTGACCATGAAATGCAAAGAACACTTTGTTTACCCCGTCACAAAACATTGGTCGATGTCTTGTCCGCTGCTCTTGAATATGAAGCGGCTACGCTGACTTCTGGTGGATACAAGAAGAACAGGGAAGTAAATTGGACCAATTGTTTCACATGATAAAAAAACCTTATTGAGAAGCAACCGAAGGCTATTAGGTGCTGGAATTGCGGTGCAATGGGAAAAGTAAGCAGTTGGTGCAAACGGCCAAAGAACACTACGAATCGAAAAACCGTGCCGGTGGCTATACAGGAAGGAACGGTGTTGCCTGAAAGTAGTGAAACCATAAGAGTAAGGCGGTTGCAAGGAACTGTAGAGAAAGCAACGTCTGTCATGGCGGAACCTCCGAAGCGCAATGAAGGTGTTGGTCAAGGAACTCTGATTGGAAAGGGGTTGGCCACATCTGTTAAAGAAGTTACAGTAAGAAGAACGTCGGTTGTCAGCGATGAGTGGGCCCCTGTCAAACTTAGGAAAGAACAAGAGAATGATCCCGTTTTAAAGAAGATACGAGAATGGAAAGAGGAAAATCGTCGACCTACCTGGCAAGAAGTATCGAAATTCTCTTCAGTAGTTAAATCATATTAGGCTCAGTGGGACTCCTTTATTCTGGAAGATGGCTTATTAAAGCGAGTACTTGAAAATGATGATGGTTCCGAGAACAGAAGACAGTTGGTCATTCCAAGAAGTAGAGTAGCTGAAGTACTCCGTCAGTTACACGACAGTCCATCAGGTGGACATCTCGATGTTAGGAAAACCCTTCAGAGAGCTCGGGAAAGGTTTTACTGGATGAACAGTTCCGATGATGTGAAAGACTGGTGTAAGAAATGTACCACCTGTGCTATGAGTAATGGACCTCAACGAAAAAGGAAGGCTCCCATGAAGCAATATAACGTTGGTAGCCCATTTGAGAGGATTGCCTTAGATATTGCTGGACCATTCCCCGCGACCGAGGATGGTAATAAATACATTTTGGTGGTTATGGATTATTTTACAAAGTGGGTGGAAGTCTATGCCATTCCAAATCAAGAGGCCGCAACTGTTGCAGATGTACTGATAAAAGAGTTTATTTGTCGAGTTGGAGTGCCCTTGGAGATCCACAGTGACCAAGGCAGAAATTTTGAAAGTCAACTTTTCCGTGGAATCTGTGACAGACTAGGCATGAAGAAGACCAGAACCACAGCATTGCACCCACAATCCGATGGAATGGTAGAGCGAATGAATAAGACCATTGGCAAATATCTGTTAAAAGTGGTTTCAAACTATCAGCGAGATTGGGATCAGTATCTTTCACTCTTTGCAATGGCTTATAGATCCGCTGTCAATGAATCAACAGGCCAAACACCAGCAAATGTCTTGTTTGGGCGTGAGATGAGACTACCGTGCGACCTCGAGTTTGGATGCCGACCTGGAGAAGATGTAGCTGGTGAAGATTATGTGATCCAGTTACGAAGAAGAATGGACGACATGCATGAATTAGTTCGCTCCCATCTTCAAATCGCCAGCGACAGAATGAAGAAGCGATACGATACCCAAGCAACAGAAGGATGTTTCAAAGAAGGCGACAAAGTCTGGCTCCATAACCCAAAAAGACAAAAGGGTTATTCTCCGAAGCTTCCAAGGTCTTGGGAAGGTCCGTAC